TCGGTTTGCATACATCTGGGTATTCTCGGCCTTGCGAACCATCCAGGCGTCCTGGATCTCCCGAATTCGTCGCTGCTGGAGGCGGCGAAATCTGAAAGAGGCTCCTTTGCGTCGGTACCAAGATTAATGTAAGCCTAGTGCAGCCTGCTCATTACGACAAGCCGGTTGCTAATGTGTGCGTTAATGTCATTGAACTCGCCCTGGTGTAGACGACATGCGCTTCGCAGGACGTCCAAGGCAGTGGAATGGGTAGCATTCCGCAGTTGACATCGTCGATTAACCACGGAGGCGTTGTCGTCCGGAGCCGGCACTTCTGCCAGATGCTGGGTTAGCTGCTGAAATGCAAGTTATGAGCAGACAAATTCTAGAGAACAGACTTAAGGTTACCTGGTGGTCGTTTACCGTGTGGTCCCGTCTAGGGTTGCTGTCGGAACATCATCATGGAGATGACGGGGCAGTGATACGCCTAGCCGTCGACGTCGTGGATAGCGTTAGTCGCCAGCACGTCCTTTTAATCTGGTCTCCGTACAAGAACGTAGTTTGGCAGCTGCCAGCGCCGCGATCGAAGATGCATTCAGATCACCCGTTTCCGCAGCGGAGGTAAGGAGAAGAGACGGTGTTCTGCGCAGGTTCGGAGAAGAGGGAGGGCGTTGTCATTACAGCTGCCGATTCCAAGGGACTCAACACGCCTCTCCAGGTAGTTTGGTCTGTCGGGACTCGGTCATTGAAATCATTAAGGACAACTAAGTTGTCCGCCTTGGACGCATTCGACAGGAGGGCGTGCAGGTCCTCGCATAGTTCGTTCATCATCTACTCGAGACTGATCATTGGGGAGGAGTGGCGTCGACATTAAATGTGGTGACAGATTTGGCTCCTCGAAGAGTCAGACGAAATGCAATAGAGCAATCAGTGATACTCTCCTGCAGACAGGGTTCCGAACGGCAAGGGCAACGCCTGCGTCGCGTTGTCCTATCCTCAAGCGACTTCTTCAGAAGATGTAGGTGGCATCCACCTCCTTGTCCGGAGAAGCTGGTCTCGCCGAGTGCATCGATGTCCATCTTGTAGCGCGCCAATTCTCAAGCGACTGGCGCCGTCCTCAGTTCCGGCCAGTTGCTGTTCGGATGGTCTAAAAGAGAACGAACATTCCAGGCTGCCAGATTGAACGGTCTCATTCTGGCGGCCTGTACCGTGAAGCGGGGTCGGTGGGGACGCGGGTTGCTGTTTTTCGACTAACAGTTTTGTCTCCACGAGTCACGTTCGGCGTGCATGTAACGTGATTCCAGCATTTAAAAGGCACGCTTTCTAGTCCCTTCTCCGCGGGTAGGAGGTGGACATTGCTGTCCCTAAATAGGGCTGCTGAGACAGCCCAGACGGCTGCCGGACTCCACTATGGGTCATGAATTATTCTAATAGGAAATCAACCCGACTTTAGGTTTCGTTCGCCTATGGCATTGCATGTCGCCCGACCCCCGTTGGACAGTTTAAAGTCGGAGATGTTTGGAGGGAGAGGGCGATATGAGGGGGATAGATGGCAATGGAAACAGAACTAGCGGGGTTGGGGACACACAGCACCGTATACGCTCGTCTAGCTTAGTCCAATGATCTAAGCGGTTACCGGAGTGCGGCCGTCAGACGGCGTCCAGCTTGGAGAGTATGGGCGACAGATGAGTGTTGAGTACCAGATAGGGACCGTGGTGAGCAGTCATTATTTGCGTGGCGCGATCAACCACCCACGCACAGGAGCCCCAATCGAGACTCTCAAGTGACATTACTAAGTTGGGCGTGACAGGTTGTTATAGCCTTTCCGCATACAGCTGTTTACCAGTTAAGAGATGACCGGTAGTTTTCATAAAATCATCATCGAACTGTCGGCCTTACAGGTATGCTTAAAACTAAACGAGGCAGATGGACGCGAGACGAATTTGAGTGTATCGAGCCTGAAAACACAAGGACACGGAGTTCGTACAGTCCGCCAGATTTTTCAGGTCATGCATCCCGATTCGGACAAGGCTGACACAGGGGAGCAACCGTATAATATGGTTGGGAAGTGATCCTCTTAGGAATGTAAGTCGTCCCAGACCCAACCCATCCATCCTAGATGGAAGTCCAAATTCGTGGTGAAAAAATGCTCATCGATCTGGCTGTGAAGAGCAACTAGATCGTTCAGTTGCCTTAAGGTCCCGATCTGGAGCTGCCATATGACCATAGGTAGAAATTGAATGATGGTGCACCTGAATCGGCATGTGGTGCACACCTGGACGACTGTGCTCCGCACCAACAGGCTATACGAACATGGGCCTGGTGTCAAGACAGAGTCAAGAAGACCGGAGGCCGGGGAAGGCGCGGGTGGCTGGCACGGCCGGAGCCGCACCTTGGTCCACGCAGCAAACGACTAGGAGTTTTCGCTTACAACAACAACAACACACCAACAGGGGCCAGAGCAGCGAGGATGATGACTGGGCAGCCATGCCCACCACTTGTGTATCTAGCGGGAACGCAAGCGCATCCACCGGCAGGGAACCAGGTGTCACGGAATTGCCAGCGTTTGCCAAGCTGCGAGGGCCATGGTTTGCTGAGACTAGCATAGCACACGCTTAAAGGCCTTTTGATCTAGAAGAGCGACACGTGGTCCTGCATATAGCATAGGCCGTCACCCTTCAAGGTTAGTGCTTGATGACCCGACTGATCTTCCGGACGCAGTCAACTGGACAGATTCACTGTTAGTAGAGCCACTTCAGGCGCATACTTCCACTGGAAAGTCGCAGGGAACGCAACTATAGAAATTCATAATTCCCTAGTATTACTACGTGCAGCATGTCAGTGACATCTTTGACGTGGTGGAGGACACTTTTTGTACGAATAACGAGGACGCGGGTTTAAGTGATAGAAGCGTCTCTCAGAAACAAAAATTGACGGTATGATCTTCGCCTTCCATAACCCTGAGAAAAAATTATGGATATGCAAATGCTAGGACAAAAAGAATACGCATGTACCACTGGCACCCTAAGGGAGGGACATGAAGTGATAGACAAGTGCATTCACGAGGGATGCTTGGCGGGATTTGGTTCTGCAGCTCCGCCTAATTGATAGCATGTGGTTAGCTTACTAAAACAATATTCGTTAGCATACCCAATTTAGCCATTCGCTGGACTAGGAAGGGAAAGAGAGCGCAAGCAGAGCTCGAGGCGCGTGACGGTGGCGTATACACATTCTCCCGCGACACAGTCACTCGCTGGATTAGTAGGATAAGGAGGGAGCAATCACATCTGGAAGGCCACGGAAAAAACCGCGTGCTAATTCGCAGTGCATGCCATTGTGGTAGAATCGATAGATTTGTAGTTCGTTCGAGTAATGAAATTAGCGCGCCTACTTAGCAACGCGCTGGACTAGTTTAGCAAAGAGGGTGCAAGCAGGGCTTGGAGCACGCACAGGGAAGCGCGTATGAACTGATGCCTGAAGCAACCAAGGCTGGCGTATACACACCCCTCCCCCGTGGCACAGTCACTCGCTGGATTAAAATGGTAAGGAAGGTGCAACCACGTGATATTTGTAAAGTCAGAGTAATCGCATCTACCACGATTGTTTTAAGGAGCTAACCGTATGGTATCGATCAGGTGGGGCTGCAGGACCAAGCCACGCCGAATGCTAATCCGAATGTTTCGCATCTGAGAACGTTAAACAAGGCCGACTGAAGACTAAAATCTTTATCGTGGGAAAGACCAATTTATTCACTCATGTTGATTTTGTGATTTACAGGTTGTAACCAGCATCTGCGAAGATAATTTGGAGCTCAAATCGAGAATGATGTCCGCTAATTCTCGCTCCCTACTTATGGGAAACAAAGACAAGTGACCCCATCAAAAACTCTGCGTCTGTGCTAATTTTTTATTCATGTGGAGACGGATACATCGGCATGGCGACCCAATGGTTATAAAAATGAAGTTAGGGAGACCTGCCAGGGTGTCTAGTAAAAGGCGATAACATGACCATTCCAATTGCTATCCTGGAAGAGTAGGTGAAAGCTGAGCCTCAGGTAGACTCAAGCGAGATCTAAACATTGCGGATTATTCCAGTTACGTACATAGTCACTACTGCGGCGGCGTATCGTGGTTATGGAAAAGACAGTCGCCAGCTGTAGACTTTGCACAGTCAGAAAGTAAAATGCCGAGATCTGCGAGGGAATTCTGGACAAAACAACCAGAATGGACAATCCCGTTGGTAGATTCAGGCGGCGGGGGAGGGAGGGGGTTGGTGCTTGACATACCCCTGTTCTGCTTGCGAGTAATACACCCACACGCGCAATCACGTGTAAGATCGGAATGATGACGCTGACACATAAGAATAAATCTGAGTAGCGCCCATTTTCCGAAGAGGGCAGAATCTATGCCTACTGTAAGGGTCAGGGATGTGAGATCAACTCTAGCCTTTTAATGTCGGAAGTCGAGGGGCTGTGCGAACTGGTTTATTCTGTACACAGGGCAGGTTGCCATGATTTGGCTCTCTGCTTGTATGTTAGAGTAAAGCGTCCGTTCAGGAGAGCGTGGTGTGTTGTTTACGCGGGTGTCACATGACCGTACCAACAGAAGGCGGGTGTCCAGTTGAAGGTTGGACATGTGCTCGGTTGGTTTGGGGAGGGGCGGAGTCGGGGCGTATAATCACAAGGGGGTACACTTGCCAGGCCGCCTGAAGTAATGGCGGCGGCGAAAGTTTTTGTTCGCAGCCGTGACTCGTAGCAGCTGGCCAAGAGGTGTCCGAACTCAGGCCTGCGGGGGGCGTGCATCAACGGTGTGCCCCTGTACGTTGGCGCAGTTGTCAAGGTCATCGATTGCCAAAGAAGGTGCCGTAACTGGGGGCGCTGAAGCGGCTGCTACAATGTCAAGTGATCTCGCGACGGCTATTAAACTGATGCACATAAAGTAAAAAGTATTGGGTTGGTTTGCATCAAATGGTCGTCCCTGGCCCTTGCGTGTTTGGCTACAGAAGTGATCCCTGCTGATGGTCTAGTTGCCAACGTGCAGTACCGGCTGAGACATTTCACACACAGACACAAAAGACATGGGCGAGGTTTGGTCCTGCAGTCCCAGACGCCCTGTCCTCATGTGGCCGCCTCGAAAGAAGGTGTGGCCGGCATCCACCTCCTCCAGATGTTTTTGTTTGGAGAAGTGGGTCTCGCAGAGTGCAGCGATGTCCATCTTGTAGCGACCAGCGCTGTCCTCAGCTCCGACCGGCTTCTCCTAGGATTGTCTAAAATTGAACGAACATTCCAGGCTGCCAGATTGATCGACCTCATTCTGGCGGCTTGTAGCGTGGGGCAGGGTCGTTAGGACGAGGGTTACTGTTTTTGTCTCTGCGAGTCACGTTCTGCGTGCACGTTACGTCCTTCCAGCATTTTTAAGGCACGCTTTCTAGTCCCTTCCCCGCATGGAGGAGGTGGACAGTGCTTTCCCAACTAGGGCTGCTAAGGCAGCCCAGACGGCTGCCGGACACCAATATGCATCACGACTTGATTTAATGAGAATACAACCCGATTTTGTATTTCGATCGTCTATGGGAGTGCATGTCGCCCTCCCCGTAGTACATTTATAAGTGGAAGGTGGTTAGAGGGAATAGGAGGGAGAGGGGGATGGATGACAATGGTAACAGCACCGAATACATTTATTTGATCTATCCCGCTGATGTAAGCAGTTGCCAGGATAAGATCAACATGCGAAGCCAAGCTTCGAGATTAAATTATGAGTGTTGCATGCCCGTTAGGGACTGTGGGGAACAGTCATTATTTGCGTGGTGCGAATTACCCCGCATGAACGGTAGCCCTCTAACTGGACAATCCTTCACCCTAGTTGCTTTCCAGCAGTTCCACAGCCTGACTTCTTACCTTGCTGTCTGCCTCCTTGTCGCTACTCCGAGGATTAGGTTCGGGCATAGTTGATTATGTCCCCCTTATACCCGCTCTACCCCAAAGCGCACTTTCGTGCGTATTCTTCTTTCTGGGGCAATACGTATTTGAGGTCACTCGTCTGGTTATGTGCATAGAAGGGCTTTTCGTCCCTGTTGGATGACATGAGGTATTCTCTCGATTTTGTGGCAGTGAGTGCGAATCATACTATTTAAGAGAGAGTCGGTTTACCTCACTGGAAGGATGATGTTCAAGTGGGGCGGTCAGACACTCCCATGCTTCGCTTTATTTTATACGCACACAGCCATGCCTCCACAAGCATGTGGGGCTGACTGGTGTGTGCTGTTTGCCCATGGTGATTCTGCCATGCCCGAACCCAAAATCATCCTTTTAAAATGTCAACGAACCTGAACCTGGTTATTTGATCATGAATGGATAGGTGGTGACCCCGTGTCCCTGATTTCCCATTTCCGACCTTTATAGTGAAATATTGCTGATATGAATTGGATTTTGCCCTCTATCGGAATCTTTATCAGGATCCCGTACAAAGTTTCATCTCCATTTGATTCAGGGTTTTCTGTCGCAATCATAAGACCGTCCAGACACTCTGCTCATTCCGAACACGCATCCGCTATGATTGGAAACATCTTACTACCTGTCAACCACAGCGCCCGCCTCCGCTAGTCTTGAGTTTGTCGTAACATAGGAAGAAGAGGGGAAGCCAGACAGACGCAACGAGAGTCTATTTGCCTGCAGACAAACCCACGCATGGGTCGCCACCCGTCCATATCGGAAACAGGGGCGGTTTACAACGCGTTTGATGGGCTAACTATCATATAGAGTAGACGGATTTCGCTACTTCAGTCGCTGTGGATTGCAGACGCTGGAACTTCACGTGCGTGGTCAGCAGCATGCTGATTTCCCGACCCCCACTCAGTTTTCTTAACGTGATGCCTTCCCACAGGATGTAGGCATCGATGAACGCAAGTTCCACAGTCTTACCACTTCGTTTTGCAATCACACGAAATAGAGGGCACACTTTAAGAACTTGTTAGGGGACTGTCTACTGCATGCGCCCTACGCACGAACCTGTAGCGCCTGTTACAACCCTATCGTGAGTGCTTACTCGTGCACAGCAGTGGTAGTCTGGTTTTCGTCGGCTCACAGCTTTTCAGCTGGCCAATCATCCTCGAGGTCGAATCAGGCCTCAGGCTGTCGCTTAAGCTGCTGTGACACATACGCCACTCACAGTCGAGATTCCGCTCTTCCGGCGCCGGGCGTACCATCGTCCGACTGCCAACTCTCCCTCCTACCCCTCTCCAGTTATTCTGTGTAGAATACACCACTCTCGCAACTGGCATCCAGCTCCTTCTCTTTCCACTCGGAACTGGGCCTGATGGTCGTAGTGGCTGTGGTCTCCCTACGGCTTACAATGCTGCGATATTGCTGACCCCCGTGCGATTCGAACACGCAATTTACCCTAACGGGGTACCGCGTCTGATCAGGCCTCGAAGATGATTGGTCAGTTGGAACGCTGTGAGCGGGAGCTGCCAACTGCATGTAGCGGCCTAGCAACTAAATCCTATAAATATTGCAACACCTGGGCAATCTACTACCCTTATCTGACTCCGCCTCTGATGATGGATTCGAGTGAGAATCCGAAACGTCGGGTTAATAAAGTACTTGTTCCAGCTATCGTGTCTCCTTCTCCGCTTTCACCTACTCTTCTAGGATAGCAATTGGAATGTTATCGCGAATGCTATCGCCTTTTACTAGCTACGCTGGCCGTTACGTCGCCATGCCGATGTATCCGGCTCCACAGGAATAAAAAATTAACACCAAGGCAGTGATTTTTTAAGGGAGTCACTCCTATTTTTTCCCATATGTAGGGAACGGGAATTTGCGAACAGCATTCTCGATTTTGAGCTCCAAATTATCTTCGCAAATGCTGGTATTTGAGTGAATAAATTGGTCTTTCCCACTGTAAAGATTCTATTCTTCAGTCGGCCTTATCTAACGTTCTTAGATGCGAAACACTTTGACTAGAATTCGGCGAGATTTGGTCTTGGAACCCCACTTAGTTGATACTATATGTATGTAGTACGTAGTTCTTTCGCTGACAGATGTCCGCTAAATTTGTCTTTTTCCAAAGTCAAGTCAAGAAAAGTTAGAGTATTTTTTTCACTTTCCTGAGAGTTCGTGATAGTTTTTCTGCTGTAAAAGAATGTGCACACTTTTCTCTTCGTATTCCAGCCTTTTTGGCTATATCGGCTTACTTTTGGGCTCCTTTCTAAGATTTTAAATGCTCAACCGAGCGGCAGCTTAAATACTAAGGTATTATGAAAGCTGCTAAGCTTCTGCCTTTTCGGTTTCTAAATTACGCATTAACAAAAACCAGACCATACAAAGCACCTTAACATATGCTTAAAAGGCAACATAACACTTGATGGAGGGAATTTTTACGATGCGGAAAAATCTGTATGGTAAAACTCTCAAGCTCAGTCTACTCCTTTCTCATAGAAAAATTCACAAACTTAGTTTAGGAAAGCTATTAGCATAAAAACTGCCGGAATACAAGGTAGCGAAGATTTCCGCTCAAATTTGTAAACATTTTCAATTATGAAATTATTTACAAGCAGTTGACGATCAAAATTATCCGTAACTGAACATCACTATCAACCCTTGTGTGTCCCCGTTAGGGCCTTCGAAAGTACTAGGGTCCCTTTCGAAATTACATGAACTTACGAAGAACTATCCGCTCGCACACTAGGCGCATAGGGTAACCATTCAGCCTCACAAAGCAAAGCCCCTATTGTTGGCACCATAATTAGTTTACGGAACGGTCAATTAAGTTTAAGGCATTGACTACTTGCGGTATGTGGTTGGTGTCAGGAGCGCGGTTCCTAATGCACTAGTCAGAGAGACAGAAGTCATAGAACAGATGTCTTTTGACGGACTTTGTGCAATCACACACAGTACGAGTGAAAGCACGCCTTGGCGATGCTTGGTCCTGCAGCCCCACCTGAGTGATACCACATGATTAGCTTTCGAAAAAAATCTTAGTACATACGAATATGCTGACTTTAAAACTATCACGTGTTTGCACCTTCCTTACCATTTTAATCCAGCGAGTGACTCTGATACCTCGGTTACTTCAGGTATCATTTCACACGCGCTTCCCTGAGCCTGCTTCGAACCCTGTTTGCGTGCTCTTTAGTATCTCAGTACAGCGAGCGGCTAAGTAGACTTGCTAATGGAATTGTTCGGACGGTGTTGGATTCCGTCGGTTCCACCACAGTGACCATGCACTGCGAATTACCACGCGGTTCTTTCCGTGGCCCTCCGGTTGTGACTGCGCCCTCCTTATCCTCCTAATCCAGAAAGTGGCTGCGTCGGGTAGAGTGTGTACATGCCACCTTCACTCGCTTCCCTGCGCGTGCTTGGAGCTCTGCATGCGCTCCCTTTCCCTTCCTAATCCAGCGAGTGGCTGAGTTAGGCATGTTATCTTATACTGTTTTGGTAAGTTGACCACACGGTATCAATCAATTATTTGAGCGGGATGCCACTCCGAGAAGCAGAAACGCAGAAGGGCCGGGGGGCTGGACTGCAAAAACCTTAAAGCCTTCTACGCAATGCCGTAAGGCAGATAAGGCCACAACTTCAATGCTGCACGCCATCAGGCGGGCATTCGCAGTCTTCGATGAAGAATGCTTCTCCAACGTCTTCGGCACGTTTATACCGCAGTTGCTGGAATATGAACTCCAGGCCTGGAAACCCTGGATGCAGCAGGATTGTAATCTGCTCGAAAGGCTGCAGAGGAAAGCCACAAAACTAGTAAGAGGTCAGAGTACACTGTCTTACGAGACTCGCCTGAATAGCCTTAAACTCTATCCTCTGAGTTAAAGGCAGTTGCGGGGTGATTTGATACAAACTTTCCGTATCGTGCGTGGCTTGAACTACGCCCTGCGGTGTGACGACTTTTTTCAACTTGCCACGACAGATAACCTCCGGGGACATCCCTTCAAACTACGTGTCCCCGAAGGAAGGTTGGATGTGAGGAAGTATTTTTTTTCTCCAACCGTGTCGTGGAACCGTGGAATAACATACCCGAGGGGGTCGTAACGTCTCCGTCCGTGGAGAGAGTTAAACACCGTCTGGACAGACATCTGTTGCGCCAGCAAGCGGACTATGGGACTTCGTAACCAGAAAAACCAATGTCCTATGTGAATCGATGCCTGCATTCACTTGCTGCTGCAATCTCTTCATGCCGTTGCAAATTTTAAGAATTTCTATATACAAATAGGGAGTTTAAAAAGGTGTAAGCCTATTTTCCTCAAATACACCGACTGACTGACTGATGTGGGGCTACAGGACCAAACTTCGCCCATGTCTTTTGTGTCTGCGTGTGAAATGTCTCAGCCGGTACTGCACGTTGGCAACTAGACCATCAGCAGGGATAACGTCTGTAGCCAAACGCGCAAACAAGCCCACTACTTTTTACTTTATATGCATCAGTTTAATAGCCGTCGCCAGATCGCTTGACATTGTAGCAGCCGTTTCAGCGCCCCCTGTTACGGCACCTTCTTTGGCAATCGATGACCTTGACAAATGCGCCAACGTACAGGGGCACACCGCTGATGCACGCCCCCCCCCCGCAGGCCTGAGTTGGGATGCCTCTTGGTCAGCTGCTATGAGTCACGGCTGCGAACAAAAACGTTCACCACCGCAATCACTTCAGGCGGCCTGGCAAGTGTACCCCCTTGTGATTATACGCCCCGACTCCGCCCCCTCCCCCAATCCAACCGATCACATGTCCAACCTTCAACTGGACATCCCCCTCTGTTGGTAGGGTCATGTGACACCCGCGTAAACAACACACCACGCTCTCCTGAGCGGACGCTTTACTCTAACATACAAGCAGAGAGCCAAATCATGGCAACCTGCTCTGTGTACAGAATAAACCAGTTCGCACAGCCCCTCGACTTCGGGCATTGAAAGGTTAGAGTTGATCTCACATCCCTGACCCCTACAGTATGCATAGATTCTGCTCTCTTCGGAAAATGGGCGCTACTCAGATTTATTCGAATGTGTCAGCGTCCTTATTCCGAAATTACACGTGATTGCGAGTGCGGGTGTATTACTCGCAAGCAGAACAGGGGTATGTCAAGCACCAACCCCCTCCCTCCCCCGCAGCCTGAATCTACCAACGGGATTGTCAATTCTGGTTGTTTTGTCCCGAATTGCCTCGCAGATCTCGCCATTTTATTTTCTGACTAAGCAAAGTCTACCGCCGGCGGCCGTTGAGTCCGTCCTGCGGCCTTCTGCTTACTGGGCACCGGGCCTTCTATGTGCATATCGGTTGCCATTTCCATAAACATGTCACGCCGACGCAGTAGTGACTATGTACGTAACTGGAAAAATCTGTAATGTTTAGATCTCGCTTGCGTCTACCTGATGCTCAGCTTTCATCTACTCTTCTAGGATAGCAATTGGAATGGTCTTGTTATCGCCTTTTACTAGACACGCTGGCAGGTCTCCCTAACTTCATTTTTATAACCGTTGGGTCACCATGCCGATGTATCCGGCCCCACAAGAATAAAAAATTAGCATTCACACAGTGATTTTTTGATGGAGTCACTTGTCTTTGTTTCCCATAAGTAGGGAACGAGAATTAGCGGACATCATTCTCGATTTTGAGCTCCAAATTATCTTCGCAGATGCTGGTTACAACCTGTAAATCACAAAATCACCATGAGTGAATAAATTGGTCTTTCCCACGATAAAGACTTTAGTCTTCAGTCGGCCTTGTTTAACGTTCTCAGATTCGAAACATTCGGATTAGCATTCGGCGTGGCTTGGTCCTGCAGCCCCACCTGATCGATACCATACGGTTAGCTCCTTAAAACAATCGTGGTAGATGCGAGTACTCTGACTTTACAAATATCACGTGGTTGCACCTTCCTTACCATTTTAATCCAGCGAGTGACTGTGCCACGGGGGAAGGAGTAATTATAGGTCAGCCTTGGTTGCTTCAGGCATCAGTTCACACGCGCTTTCCTTTGCGTGCTCCAAGCCCTGCTTGCACCCTCTTTACTAAACTAGTCCAGCGCGTTGCTAAGTAGGTGCGCTAATTTTACTGCTCGAACGAACTACAAATCTATCGGTTCTACCACAATGGCATGCACTGCGAATTACCACGCGGTTCTTTCCGTGGTCTTCCCGTTGTGATTGCTCCCTCCTTATCCAACTAATCTAGCGAGTGACTGTGTCGCGGGAGAATGGGTATACGCCACCGTCACGCGCCTCGAGCTCTGCTTGCGCTCTCTTTCCCTTCCTAGTCCAGCGAATGGTTATATTGGGTATGCTAACTAATATTGTTTTAGTAAGCTAACCACATGCTATCAATTAGGCGGGACTGCAGAACCAAATCCCGCCAAGCATCCCTCGTGAGTGCACTTGTCTATCACTTCAGGTCCCTCCCTTAGGGTGCCAGTGGTACATGCGTATTCTTTTTGTCCTAGCAGTCGCATATCCAAATCAGTATAATTTTTGATGAGGGTTTTGGAAGGGGAAGTTAATACTGTCCATGTTTGTTTCCGAGAGACGCTTCTGTTACTTAAACCCTCGTCCTTGTTATTCGTACAAAAGTGCCCTCCACCACGTCAAAGACGTCACCGACACGCTGGACGTAGGGAATTCTGAATTTCTCTAGTTGCGTTCCCTGCGACTTTCCAGTGGAAGTATGCGCCTGAAATGGCTCCACTAACAGTGAATCTGTCCAACTGACTGCGTCTGGAGGATAAATCGGGTACTCAAGCCCTAACCTTGACGGGTGATGGCCCAGGCTATATGCAGGACCATGTGTCGCTCTTCTAGATCAAAAGGTCTCTGAGTGTGTGCTATGCTAGTCTCAGCAAACCATGGTCCTCGCAGCTTGGTATACGCTGGCAATTCCGTGACACCTGGTTCTCTGCCGGTTGATGCTCTTGCGTTCCCGCTAGATACACAGGTGGTGGGCATGGCAGCCCAGTGATCATCCTCGCTGCCCTGGGGCCTGTTCGGGTGTTGTTGTTGTCGTCAGCGAAAACTCCTAGTCGTTTGCTGCGTGGACCAAGGTGCGGCTCCGGCCGTGCCAGCCACCCGCGCCTTCCCCAACTTCCGGTCTTCTTGACTCTGTCTTGACACCAGGCCCATGTCCGTATAGCCTGTTGGTGCGGAGCACAGTCGTCCGGGTGTGCGTGAGGCGTTACTTTAGGACAACATTACATAGCACCACATGGCGATGCTGGTGCAGCATCATTAAATTTCTACTTATGGCCATATGGCAGCTCCAGATCGGGACCGTAAGGCAACTGAACGATCTAGTTGCCCTTCACAGCCAGATCGATGTGCATTCTTTCATCACGAATTTGGACTTCCATCTAGGATGGATGGGCCGGGTCTGAGACGACTTACATTCCTAAGAGGATCACTTCCCAACCATATTATACGGTGGCTCCCCTGTGTCAGCCTTGGTCGAATCGCGATGCATGGTCTGTAAAAATCTGGCGGACACTCTCCCGTCAATCTGCAACTACCTACCTCGGTTAGTTTTAAGTATACCTGTAAGGCCGAAAGTTCGATTATGATTTTATGAAAACTACCGGTCACCTCTTAACTGGTAAACAGCTGTATGCGAAAAGGCTATAACAACCCACCACGCCCAACTTCGTAATGTCACGTGAGGGTTTCGACTGGGGCTCCTGTGCGTGGGTGGTTGGTCGCGCCACGCAAATAATGACCGCTCTCCACGGTCTCTATCTGGCACTCAACACTCATCTTTCGTCCCTACCGCCCAAGCTGGACTCCGTCTGACGACCACACTCCGGTAACCGCGTAGACCAGTGGACTAAACTAGATGAGCGTATACGTTGCTGTATGCCCCCAACCCCGCTAATTCTGTTTCCATGGCCATCTATCGCCCCTTACTTATCTCCCCTCCCTCCAACCATCTCCGACTTCAAAATGTCCTGCGGGGAGGGCGACTTGCAATGCTATAGGCGACCGAAACCAAAATCGGGCTGCTTTCCTATAAAAACAATCTGTGACACATAGTGGAGTCCGGCAGCCGTCTGGGCTGTCTCAGCAGCCCTATTTAGTGACAGCACTGTCCACCACCTACCCGCGGAGAAGGGACTAGAAAGCGTGCTTTTAAAATGCTGGAATCACGTTACGTGCACGCAGAATGTGACTCGCACAGACAAAACTGTTAGTCAAAAAACAGTAACCCACGTCCCCACCGACCCTGCCCCACGCCACAGGCCGCCAGAATGAGACCGCTCAATCTGGCAGTCTAGAATGTTCGTTTCCTTTTAGACAATCCGATGATCAACCGGCCGGAGCTGAGGATGGCGCTCGTCGCCACAAAATGAACATTGCCACTCCCTGCGAGACCCACTTCTCCGAACAAAGACAACTGGAGGAGGCAGATGCCGGTTACACCTTCTTCTGAGGAGGCCATTTGAGGACAGAGCGACGCGACGCAGGTCATTCGCAAACACTACCTTGTCTGCAGCAGGCCATCAACAGCCGCCCTATTACACTTCGTCTGGTTCTTCGATGAGCCAAATTTGCCACCACTATCAGTATCTACGCCCCCCCCCCTCCACAATAACCACTTTCGAAGAGGCGAAGAATAATTTATACGAGAACCTGCGCGCCTTCCTTGCGACTGTGTCCAAGGTAGTCAACCCGGTTATCCTTGATGACTAACGTTCGCGTCGGTACAGATCAAACTGCCCGGATAGGTGTGTTGGGTCTAATGCAATCGGCGGCTGTGGCGGCAACGGCCTCCTCCCGCGAAACTGCGTAGAACGCCGTGCCCTCCGTTTTACTAACATTTACTTCTGCCGCGTAAAGGGTGACTTGAATGCGCCTTTGATCGCGGCGCTCGCAGCTGCCAGACTACGTTTCGTGCGGAGGTGGAATTGTCAAGATTTGTTGGCGACCATCGAAATCTGCGACACCGATAGCTGAGCGGATCATTGCCTCGTCATCTCCAAGATGAGGTTCCGACCGCAACCCTAGGGAGGACCGCACGGTAAGCGACTATCAGGTAGGCTAAATACTGTTGTAATGAATTTGTCTGCTCACCGCTTACATTTCAGCAGCTAACTAACCCGGCATCTGGTAGAACTGCCGGCTCCGGATGACAACGCCTCCGTGGTTACTCGACGTTGTCGAAATGCGGAACGCTACCCACTCCACTGCCATGGACGTCCTCGGACGCGCACGTCGTCTACACCAGGGCGGATTCAATGACAACAACGCATACATCAGCAACCAGCTTGCCGCAATGAACAGCCTGAACAAGGCCTACACTGACCGTGGGATCGACACGAAGAGGCCCTTTTTCAGACTTCGCCGCCTCGTACAGCAACGACTTCGGGAGATCCAGGACGCCTGGATGGTTCGCAAGGCCGAAAAAATCCAGATATATTCGGACCGCAATGAAAAAAGAACTTCGCCTCGGCCAAGGCGGGCTGTGGCTCCATAAGGCAAGCGTCCCGTCTCTGGGCTCCGATGGAACATTTCTGACGGAGAAACCTCAAATTCCTAAGCGTTGGACCGAGCAAATCAGAACTGTCCTCAACCGCCTACCTGCGCTGCCGACACTGACAACGACGCGCCCCCCCTTCAGCCCTATGCTTTTTTGCCATGCTGATGGCTGCATTCTGTGACGAGCGCCGAGGGATCCGGATCGCCCACCGGACAGCATGGACCTCTTCCGACTAAAAACCGTAGACAAGTTCGTCTATTTGAGCAGGACACTCCTACGCTGCATCAAAATCGAAGATGAAATGACTAGCCAGATCTCGAAGGCCAGCCAAGTCTTCGGCATGGCATCACACGATCCCCACCCCAACACCAAACTGAAGATGCACAAAGTGATTATCTTGGCGACGCTGTTGTATGGCGCGGGGACCTAGGCAGTCTACAGGAAACAATCACTCCTGCAAGTTCTAAAGCAGAGGTGACCGGACCGTATCCCGGACAGGGATGTTTTGGAACAGGGCATGCACGCCATACCGAGGCAACTGCAACTGTGATGAAGCGGTCGCCTAGTGGGGATGGTAGATGAGTGACTACCCAAACGACTGCTCTACGAAGATGTCGTCACTGATGCACGCTGACAAAATCAGGCCCAACGCTACGCGGACGTCCACGCGCATTCACTCACCACATAAGCCTATTCGATCACATGTGTATCCACAACAGGGAGAATTAACTGTGCATATCCGTCTACTCTCCCATCTCCGGTTCAATCAGTTCCGCATCCACCATCGTGGCCACCACTCGCAGCACAACAACGGTAACCAACTTAGTGTCCCCCAACTTATCCTGCTCACACTTTCATAACACACTTCGTATGACCGATCACTAGCAAATCCATCGCACAGAGACAGGCGAACTAGTGTTTCGTGCACCTACACTAAGAGCCATCGCCTCAACTGTACATTCAGCCACTGCGTGGGCCTATCCAGTCATATGCGCCTTTATGAAAACCCGCAATAAATCACGGCCGACATGACCACATCGGACACGACGATGTCAATCTGCCGTATGACACCAACAGTAGTTCGACTGCCAGTTCTTCCTCGGTCGTCAAAAAGACCTTCAGAACTGGACTCTTCCACAAGACTTGTTGTAGATTCCAGTCGACGAAACTACGCGGTCCATTATTCAAATGAGTTGAGGGAGGGGGTGGTGTTAAGAAAACCCGAGACTCGACATACTACGCTTGACTATTGAGGTCACACGCGCTGGAAGGTAATCATGCTGCATCTACTGGAATGTGCGTGAACGAGTCGGCAAATCAACGCGATTCTAGCCATACGTCAAATCTCAGTGCTGGCCCACAGTTTTGCTTAAAGGCCTACCAATCGGAACGCGTTGGCTAGGCCGGGCGCTGGACTCAGGTATGGAGTCTTGGAGAGAAAGGAGATAAGGCTCAGGTATAGTTATTGACGTAATAGAGATGCCCAGTCATCCATCACTCTTTTCCGTGCCTCATAGAAACTGGAGACATACAACCGGGTGGAAGGATATAAAAAACAGTCGTTGCGTCGTGTTATCAAAAGAGTGTGAAAAGGCTTTGTCAATTTCGAAAAAGCTGGGCGAAAAACAAAGAAAATGCGGTCAAAATCAGGAAGTAATTAAGAGAGAATGAAAAGAAGCACTGGACTGTCTAGAACTGCTTGGCGTAAACGTGAACGGCGACTTTGCACGTCGCCGTCGACACAGGGTTGCAGTGAGTGCTGGTCTTCGTATCCCACTCCGACGTGCGAGGTGGCAAGACATGGTGAAATCGGCTTGACAAAACTCATATCAACTTCACCTACACACGGACACACTTTCCAGCACCGACAGTGGCAGGAGGCCGTGATGTCGAGCACTCTTGACTCTCAAAGATGTAGCGCGGTGCAAGCATGAGAGCCTTTTCTTGGTCAGCCTCATCAAGCCTGGCAAGGAGATCGACGTCAGTGAGGTGAGTCACATTCTTATCATTTATCTTGATAATTCTATACCCCAGTAACACCCCAGCTTCAGCAGCCGGTGAGCCGGCAGTGATCTCCTCGATGACTCCGCCCTTCACGACGATGCCGGCGGAGGCGGAGTGAGGGACCGACATTGTCACAATGTCAGTAAGGGCACTGAAAGAAGATGGGGGGGGGGGGGTTGAAAGTTATGTCATCAGCACTGTCAGCAGCAGACACTGAAACTATCAAGACGACCGTGGGCGTAGTCTGTTGTGCCGTGGGTACTGGAAGGCTACCTTGAATCGTAGTAAAGTAGTTTTTTTTAGAGATTACACTGGATGACATCAAAACCAAGGACACACTCCGCAGCATTGCGGTTGCCAGCGCAAACCCGGCAGTGGTCAAATGGGCTTCCTCAGGATCCGGCGCTGAGACCTACCTTGTTTGTCATGTTTATACACGACTGTACAATTAGGGTCGCAAACAACAAAGGATTGAAATCTCATCCGCAGGGCTGCCGATGAAGACAACTCGCGGACCAACCTCAATCGGTGTCGGGGATTAGTAAAATCGCTGGTTTCTGTGGCTTCCCATCGCTAAGTGAACGATAATTTGGGTAGAAAATCGCACTAGAATTATAAGCACGTGAACTTACTGCATCGAGAAGACACGCTTGCAGCACACAGTGCATTCCCAAGAGTTTGTGAGATTTTTGAGGTTATATTTTAAATACGTATTTCAGGCATGACAACTCTGAACTCTCTTCAAATGCAGCACTCCCTAACAAACAAAGATCTTCGCCTTTCAGTTATATAACATGCGCGGAGACCTGGCGACTCATATTATGAGCTGATGGTTTTCCAGCGTCTGGAGACTACCACAAATTCGCCTCCAACACCGACCTTTGATGTCGGCCAGTAAAACTTTGCTGTTGTCAAGACAGGCTGGATGCACGAAATCGTCACGCAAACAGAGATGTGGAGGCAGGCAAGAGGTCGTGCTTATTCAGCCAGCCTCTACAGCGTCGTGCCTGATGATCGGTTTGAATGTGAATCATCCGAGACGTCACGTGAATAAAAGTGTCCTCTCAGCGACCGCGTTACGTCCAATCCCATTATCACTGTCCTCAGGGGACGCATCAATTTTTGCTGTGAGTGAGGCACCTGCGAGGCACCCACACCATCCTCACACTCGCAGAGTCTGGATGGAAAGACGAGGTGACGATGGTTGTCAGGGCAGTGGATGGCGTGGCATGTCTAGGCGTGCCACACGCACACGAGGCGGCCTCCAAGAAAGATTACGATCTATTGCCGGGGATAATGCACAAGACGTAAACAGACTGCAAACGTCAGGACACAGTCGACCAGTTCTATAAAAGGAACATGGAAAATATCCGTTTCGAGAAAAGGCGACTTTTTAACGTAAAACAGTACTAACGCGCATGCAACCGCAGCGGGGAACATTTGATTGGGAATGAGCTTGACGTACGCTCCATGGGACTCATCCATTTTGTGTTTCGCTGTCATGTTGGGCACCATGTCAACATGCCAGGTGTCTGTACGGCTGAGAAGGGATGACTTCCATCTGACAGTTCATTTAAACCAGTTTAACATACGAATCGGTCTGATGGAACCCGAAGTAGAAGCACTCAATCTTTCCTTTCCTAGATTAAACGAGTGGACGAAAACCTGGTATTAATGGTGACGATACAGGATCCCTTAACTGCTTTCCAGTGAAAGATCTCGGGTTGCTACAACTGTCCGGTGGTCGGAAAAGAACTCAACTCCAGCCAAACAGTCGACATGATTGAGTCAGTATCGTAAGCAGAAAAGGGTAACTAAAATTGCACTGCTTCTAAAGCCGGACGGGCTCGATCTAATTTTCGGAGGCTTCAACTGGCACCCAAGCCAGAAACAAAGCGGAATATTTGTCGGTGTTCCTAGTAGAAGACTTGTACGTCTTCTTGCCTAAC